GAATATTTATTCTTCATTCGGGAATTCATATTCAGAATTCGAGAATATTTATTCTTCATTCGGGAATTCATATTCAGAATTCGAGAATATTTATTTCTCATTCGGAATTCATATTCAGGATTCGAGAATATTTATTTCTCATTCGGGAATTCATATTCAGGATTCGAGAATATGTATTCCTCATTCGGAATTCATATTCAGGATTCGAGAATATGAATTCCTCATTCGGGAATTCATATTCAGGATTGAAAAAAATGTTGAAAAAAATTCCCGATCTGCAATACATATTCCCGATTCGCAAATATGAATTCCCAAATTCGAATTGAATTCCCTCATACCCATTCACATTCTCAAGTCCGAGGTAAAATTAATCCGAATGGAGCTATTTCTCCCGAGGGTCTCCGACACCTGGATGAGAGTGATCCCAAGCCCCGGATCCCAGGATCACCCTGACCATCCCAAATAAAGATCGAACACCCCGAAAATCTAAAGACCCCACCCCCTTCTAGGAGTCGGGATAAAATCTAAAGGAAACAGTCATCAAAGTGTTTCAGAGTTATTCATCAACTCCCAGCATATCCCCAGATGATGATGTATTCCGTCATTTGTCATTGACATACGCCCAGAATCATGGATCTATGTATCGGGGTGAAGCCTGTTCACCCTCTCAACCTGGCTTCAAAGATGGAATAACCAATGGCGCCGAATGGTATCCACTCACTGGTGGAATGCAAGACTTCAATTACGTCTGGAATGGATGCATGGAAATTACTTTTGAATTATCTTGCTGTAAATATCCACCAGCTCAGGACCTGCCACATTATTGGGAGGAAAATCGTGTTGTGAGTTTTTTCTTTCACTCATCGATATAAAAAAATAATTCAATTCCAAAAAAATTAATAGTAGTCCAATATTTGCCGGGATTTTTACATCGGAAAAATTTTGAAAAAATCGAAAACATTCGTCCATTCAAAAATTTGGAAAAAGATTTTTTTTTTTTTTTTAATTTTAATATTTTAATTTTAAACTCCATTGAAAGTAAGGGAACGCAATTTTTGTTTTCAGTCCCTCATAAAATTCCTCGCTGAGGCGCACCGTGGTGTTCATGGTTTCGTAATCGATGAAAATGGAAATGCAGTTGAGAGGGCATCAGTCAAGGTGAAGGGACGGGATATCAGTTTTCTCACGACCAAATACGGTGAATTCTGGAGGATTCTATTGCCTGGAGTCTACAGGCTCGAGGTGAGTGGCTTTCGGATATCTCGAGTGCCGATCGAGATGAGGGGATGACTCCTAGGGAAATACTTGATCCTTTCGATATATTCTGGCACTTCAGAGCTTTCTCAAAGTAACTTTATAAAAATGGCACTGAAATCCATTGAATCATTTCAAACTCTGATCGAAAATGAACGATTCAAATGAATCGAGCCAATAGAAATCGAAACGTAAACGAGCGTGACCTTGAAATCGAAATTCGTGATTTAAGCGTCGAAAATTTATTATGTACCAAAAAAATTTTTTAGTGTATTGAATTAATACAGGTAGCAGTGTAATTGATAATGATAATTGGAGTAAATAATTTTTCAAGGTCTACGCGAGCGGATACACCCCGAGAGAAGTTGAATTCATGGTTGTAGAGGAGCACCCCACCCTCCTGAACGTGACACTCCACGGAACGAAGGTAAAGTCCTCTGAAAATAATAAAAAATCAAGAATTACCACCTGAACCTCGAATAATTCACTAACACACCTGGCAAGTGATTATCACAACCTAGTGCTTGACGAATGCTAAGAAAAAAATCTTGAATCGAAAAAAAAAATAGATAGAGTGGTCGTGGGATTGATAACGCGAGAGGATAAATTTAACGAATACAGAAGTGGAACAAGAAAAATTGCATGAGGGGAAAACAAAGGCCTGTGGTTTCAGAAATGGACACAGAGTGATGTTTGGGGACATACGACCACTGAAAGACGTCATACAGCAATGTCCTCACCGCACCTGGATCACCCGGTACAGGAACCCGTCGACACCGACTCCATCGTCTTCCCTAACTCCTAATCTTAACCCCTCATTGACGTAGTTTATCCACTGGAATAACAATTCGACGAAGAGAATTCCTGTTTTTTTTTCGATAAAAAATTCATAGCCAAATGGAATTTACCTGGAAATTATTACGATTAAAATCCGAATTCATTTTAATTCTAATTCTAGAAATTTTGAATGGTTAACTGGAGTGGAAAGTGCATTGGGTTTTCAGTTAAATTTCTCTCGTTATCGATTAATTGATCGGAGGAAGAGTGCGTTCCCATTTTTGATGGGAAAAGAGAAATAAATCGCCAACCGTTTAAGGTTTGGATGCCAATGAAAGTTCACGGGAAAATGCATGTCTGAAGAACTACTTTTGATCCCGTTCCACGGAAAACGGGAAAATGCGCGTGACCTTGAAATCGAAATTTGCGAATTCGATTTTGATAATTACGTATTCATCCGAAAAGTGTTCAACCTTTCCAGCATTGATCATAAAATTCAAATAAATCAATCATCCAATAGAAACGGCCTGGAAATGCGCGTGACCTTGAAATCGAAATTCACGTGCTATTGAAGTAAAAATTACCATCAGCAAGTGTTTTCCAGCTGAAATTTCCCTGGCTATCGAATGACATCGGTTTTATTCCGATTGAAACAGAATTTTCCGTTCATCTGTATTTTCCCTTGATGATAAATAATTAGAATACAATGTATATTTAAATTGCACAGTTTTTTCCTCCCCCTCTTTTTTTTATAGTCTCACAGATTATGTAAGTATTGAAAAGTGATGTTTTCTGGTTTTTTTGCTGGGAATTGAGATTTTCGGTGTTAATTCGATTTGTATTGCTTGATTAATCATCTGCATGATTGGGTTTTGAGGGGAAGGGGGAGAAGGTGGAGGCAATTAACGAGGGGGAATGGTGGGGGTGAATTTTTGAATGAGGTGAATTTTTTCTCCAGTCTCTAAATATTTTTTCTCATCACTGAAATCATCGAATTGACGATAAAAATTATCAAATTAAATCGTCGATTTTTCGAAAAATTTCACTTCAGTATTAAACTTTTTCCTCTTTCTCCAACTGTTCCCTCGTAATTCATGCAACCGTATAATATCATTCAGCACGATTCTCCTCTTTATATTACAACTGAGACGACGTGAAAAAAAGAAGAAAAAAAAATTTTCAAATTAGATAGTGAATCGGGAAAAATTCTCGTGTTGCTATTATTGCCACGCCGGATATATCTGGAATATATTCGAAATATAATTTCGATCCGCTGACAATTCGCGGATGGGAATCCCCTCATCGTTGGAATTAATTGAATAGAGGAATCGACAGGCGATAACAAAAGACCCGATAAAATCAATTCATCTCCAACCAGTGGTTTTCTATAAATAACAAAATGTCCTCGACCAAAACGTTTAAACCTCTTGCCTCCGAAGATAAAAATATTGTGTCAAATAAAATGTGAAACGAGGAGAATCGATAGTGTAAAAAAAACACTTGCTCTACTTTTTATCATTTAAAAAAGATTCATCAACTATTTTCGATGCAGACATGTCCGGTTTTATATTTACACGTGATATTTTCATTCGATCCCACCGATCCATCACTTATTCATTTTTTTTTCCACATTTGTCTGTCCACTTTAGCCATTTTTACCGATTTCTCTCGGCTTTCAGAACGATAATTGTCACCGATCAATCGAATAATGAGTGGATGGAATAAGGAAGTGAAAAATATTGAATGGAATTGATCCATCGCTTATTCTTATTTTTTTCGATATTTTTCTGCCGATTTTTACCGATGCCGATTTATTTTCCAGTGAAGTAAAAAATTACTGGATAAATAAATTAAATAATGACGTAAGGAATATTGACTTATATCGATCGATCATTCAATGCTATTTCCTCACCATTTTTCTGCCGATTTTTACCGATTTTTTTTACCGATTTTTTACCGATTTTCAGGAAAAAAATGCCGATTTCATTTTATTTTTCAGTTCTTCAAAAATTGAAGAGTCCCCTTTAACATTCCATGCACTCAGACCATTTCCGATTGATAAAAATGAACTAGAATATTAAAAATAACTATTAAAATCTAATGAATTGATTGAACAGAGGGTGGATAATCACGGAGATCATTACGGAAATGCTGGACCCCCAGGAAGATATCCAACTCGTGATTACACACATCATTATCGTCCTGGTGTCAATGGGCATCAGGGATCGGCTCAGGACAGCAGCAATGGAATTTTTTCATCAATCAGCACTGGATTCAATTCATTCGTGACCAATTTGTTTGGCTGATCGTCAGCTTATCGACCTGCGGGTGGTGCTGCACTTCTCTTGGTGATTGTGTCATTAATGCGGTATCTGGGACCAAGGGAACTCCTCGGGGTCGTCATTTTCATCGCGAGAAGACACAAGATGTGATCCCAATCGTTTGTGTTCAAGACAAAATTATTTATCTCCAGTGGAAGCTCTCCAGAATTTTTTTAAAAATTTATTTTAGAAAAATCCTTGGAAAAATCAATTGGGATTTAACAAAATTTTTTGATATTTTTAGAAATTTTGAGAATCGATTAATGGATTCATCACAATTAATCAATTATTTAATTATCAATCCAAATTAGTGAATCAACGGATTAATCGGTAATTTATGATTGTTTAATTCGTTGATTAATGGATTTTTTTTTTTTGGAGTTGATGAAAATTGGAATTTCAAGAGAATTTAATGGGAAAAGCTCTTGATTTTTCCGAGACCCATATTTTTCTCGATCTTCCGAAGAATTGGGGAATGAAAAAACGTGAGATCAGTGATCGTAAGAATTTTTCAATCGATCTAGGAATAATTTTCACTCCCTCGAACGAAAAATTTTCCAACCAATAGTTTAATGTGTAATTGATGCGTAAGAATTATTTATTATCTACTAATTAAGTACTTAGTGGCACTCGTGGAGGAATATAAAATCACCCCTGACCATAACGAAAATGTTAAATAAACAATAATATTGTTACACATTGCAGATGAATAATAAAGTTTTAGAGAAAAAATTGATTTTATTTTTATTTACTAATTACTCATTTGTCTTTATTGAAATTTTCGGTTATATTCGATACCTAGTGTGTTCAAGTGACAATTGTTTATTCGAATGCCCTTGAGATATTAATAATTATAATACTGCTTACAAAAAATCGGAAACATTTTTTATACTTTGAGTTTTCCTTATTATCTGATTTTCCAGTGGAGAAACATTTCTGGATTATATTTCACCAAATATCCAAAGAAATCACGACAAAAATTATTCCAATCGAATTTCCAGAATATTAAGTAATTTTTCAATAAAAATAAATCAATATTTTATTTTATTAATAAATTTTCACTCAATTTTTATGACGATTTCATTTTTTCAGGGAGAACACCGCGAATATCTCGGAATCGGAGAGAGCAATCGATATTTTTGTAATAACATTTTTAATGAGTAAAGACGAGAGCTACAAAAAAGGTCCCAATGAAAATATCTCTATCTCCCTTCCGTCTGAAGATATACCCAAAAAATCGGTTGCGAGTACAACGATCATTGTATAAAAATAATAAATCAATTGTAATCGAAATATTTGGTGGAGCATTCCAGAGTATTTACCCTGATTACGTTAATTACTCAAACATCGATAATACTGTTGCGCTTTTTGTCGATCTCCACAGAATCCAAATCATTCCCGAGACTTCCAACTCGTCCCCGAAGTCCACCACCACCGACTTGACCACTTGCTTTGAGTTTCTCTTGCATTTGCGCAAGAATATCTTGCATCCTCCGGATCTAAAACAATTACCAATTAATACCTACCCCATCAATTAAAAAATTCCATATTAAAATAAAATCACCTCTTCATCCTTCTGCAATAAAAGCCGATCGGTATCAGATATACTATTCTCGAAATGAGGTCCAGAGTCTCTCTTCAGTTTGCTGAATGTCAAATTAAATTGTTTATCAATATTAATCTACGATTAATTTATATAATATCAATAAATTGGTGAGCATCATCCGGATTTATCCCGATAAATGGGATAAATGAGATAAATCGGTAATAAATTCTATTTGTTTTCAATGATTTTTCATTGTTCTAGGGTTTATTGGATTGAATTAATTAATTATTAAATAACCTTCTCTCCCTGATGGCTTGCTGAGAAATTTGAGAGATGCATTGGGCCCTGAAATTCTCGTAATGAACATCCTGGGTCACGTCCTTGAGATCCTGCATGTGAGTTGATATCAACATTGTTCTTAATTTAACAAAATCGCTGTGTTTTGGATTTTCCACTGAAACCAATAAACAAATAATAATTAATACCAAATTATTCTCCCGCCAACGAACGCTGACGATTCACTTTCAATCAGTGGAATTTCACGATTAAAATTTCTCGTCGTTATTCTTTTTCGTAATTAATTTTTGGTTTATTACCCTCGACTACTCCCCAGGGATATTGTCTTCCTCTGACTTTTCTTCCAGCAACTTCCAGGACAGTTGAGCTACCAACGACTGCAAATGGCACTGTTGCTTTCAGCTCCTTATCCTGTTGTTTAAATTCCTCATCCTCGTCGCTGTCGCAATCGGGGAATTGATAAATCTGTTGAAAATTCATCATTTTCACTATTTATTTCATTCTTTCTTGACGAAAAGTCGAACCGATTTTTTTACCGATTTTTTTTAACCGATTTTTTACCGATTCTTTACCGATTTTTTACCGATTTTCTCTTCGATTTTGTTCTTTTAAATTTTATTATAGATAGGTAATTATTCACTTGAATCTCGTGCTCCTCGATATCCGCCAAAATTCGTTCCTTCAATTTTTTCACTTCATTCGTGGTGAGTGTATCGGCTTTTGCAATCACTGGTACGACGTTAACTTTTCTATGAAGACGTCTAAGTACTTCCAAGTCCAATTGTCGCAATCTGTACATTCGTAAATAATTCGTAATTATTTAGTAGGTTGAAGGGATAATTTTTAAATAAATTACCCGTGACCGTAGGGAGGGATGAAGTACAGGCAACAGTGGACTCGATTGTCCTGAATATTTTTTCGGTTCAATCCACTCTCATCGGTGAAATATTGCCTGAATTGTTCGTCGATATACGCAGAGCATGCCTTCCACGTGTCTTCACAGTTGACAGGATCACCAAAGCCTGAAAAACAATAAAAATAATATTAAATAAATAAATAAAAGTCAATTAACTAATTAATTCAGCAGCGAATTGACAAACTGGAATAAGCGCGTATTTTTCACTGCCGGTTTTCAGCCGATATCTCGCGATTGAAGGGACATACGCCATTTTTTATATGAACATTTATTGTTGAAAATTATCAGATCTACAAAAAAGGTCTCTATGAAAATATCGTTACTTCTCTTTAATTCCGAGATATCGGCTGAAAACTGGCACGGAAAAAAATGAACTTATCCCAATTTATCAGTTGTCGAAGGAATTTTATAAATTGTTAAAAAAATTATAACAAATTCAATGCAAAATTGCATGGGGTCATTCACCTGGTGTATCAACAATCGTCAGACGCAATCGAACTCCTCTCTCTTCGATATCCATCGTCTTTTTCTCGATTGCTGTCGTTTTTTCCACTCTCTCTAAAACCCCAACCGATCATTAACAAAATAAAAACAATAAAAACCGTCATCAATTAATAATAATAATATTTCCCGAGTCCAGCCATCGACTTTCGGGCACATTAAAAATCATTCAATCAAAAATAAATTCGACTTTTTAAAATTCATATAGAATTATTAAAAAATTATCACGAATTGTTAATATAAAATAATAAAAATGGAGATAAATTTATTCGACTGTCAATTAATCATTCGTTGGATAAAAATCGATTAGACCGATGAATTAAAATTGAAGTAATTGGATAATAAATTCCTCGGGAGTTTTGATGATTTTTTTTTTTTTCGTTTTTCGAGCACTCGATGTTTTCTGGACCCTGGATTATTTTTGAATGTTTGGATCTGGCATTCACCTCCGACATCTGGTATTTTTCTTTCCTTGTAGAGATCCCCGAGGAACAAACTATTAATCAAGGTCGATTTACCCAGTCCTGATTCACCCAAGACCATAAGTGTAAATTCAAATCCTCTTTTCACCGATTTCCTGTGGACCTGTTCCGGAAGTGTTGCAAAACCGATATAGTCCCTGTCTTGCTAAAAGAAACGTTAAAAAAAATACGAAAAACATTTTTTTAGTATTAAATTTCTTAGCAACAATAAAAAATAAAAATTATCTAAAGATTATGAATTCTAATTAATTTTTCACTCCAGCCAAACGGGCGTCTAATATATTTCTAAATACAAATAAAAACAACTAAACAATTACCATCAGTAATAACAATAGAAATAATCTCAATAAATAATCCACATCTGAATAAATAAATAAATAATCTTTAATTATGGATTATGGGGTGAGGGGTCGTGCTGGTGTGGAGTAAAGGAGATATTAATTGAAAAAAAATGATAAATTATGTTTAATAAACTAATAATTTATTGAAATATTGTTTTTGGGATATTCTTACCCCCAGACATGAAACAAATCACGGAAAAACATTTTTTTAGTATTAAATTTCTTAGCAACAATAAAAAATAGAAATTATTTCAAGATTATGAATTCTAATTAATTTTTCACTCCTTGTATTTCTAAATACAAATACAAACAAATAAACAATTACCATCATTAATAACAATAGAAATAATCTCAATAAATAATCCACATCTGAATAAATAAATAAATAATCTTTAATTATGAATTATGGGGTGAGGGGTCGTGCTGGTGTGGAGTAAAGGAGATATTAATTGAAAAAAAATGATAAATTATGTTTAATAAACAAATAATTTATTGAAATATTGTTTTTGGGATATTCTTACCCCCAGACATGGTGTTAATGGTCAACAAACCGGCGTCCGGTGTTGCAGGGGCGTCGAAAACACGAGAGAGACTGAATGTACATGAATTTACTCACCCTCTTATTGCATTTGTCGTGTGCGCACCCTCACCCCCACCCGCCCAAAACGAGATCAATAATTCTCCCGTGAATTTTCCATTTCAAAACGCTTCGTCTCATGAAACATTCCAAAATCTAACGCGCGAATAAAAAATAAACGAAACGTGAATTTCGAAAAATTCAACTTCTCCGCAATTTCGAATTGAAAAAAATGGAAAAAATTATTTAAAATTCATTAATTAATTGAAGTTATTATTAAAAAAACATGGGGTTGACCCGGGGGATAGGAAGAATGCACGGAATTAATTAAGTTAATTGTTTATAGAGTTTTATAGGGGAAATTGCGCAATGATTGTGGAACAATTGGGGGATGAAATTTAAAACGCTTGATTTATTTGGAAATTCGGGATTTTATGGGAAAATATCAAGAGACCTTTTCTCTCGGGAATTTTATGGGCTATAAAAAAGTTATCTGCCATTTTTTTCGTAAATCGATAGTTTCTGGAATAAATCGATGATTAATGTTTTTTCCGTGATTATCGATTTGAAATTTGAAATTTTCTGAAATAATCTTCAAATAATTAACAATAAAATTTTCATTCTGTTGTTTTATACACTTTTATTACACAATTACAGTTTCAATTCTTCATTATCATTTCAAATTCAACGAACCTCGATGTGCATTACAGCTGATCGATGAGAGTATTGATGAATCAAATAAATATCTCACGAATCGGAGAATGAATTCTCCTTCACTTACAAACAGAAAAAATTACGAAAAAATTACGAAAAAATTCAAAAAAAAAAAATGTTGAACAGAACAATTAGTATCGAAAGAAAAACGACAAAATTTTGAAGATCACAGATCTGAATAAAAAAATTCTGGGCCTGGAGTGCCCAAAAAATGTGAAATAATTGATTTGCTCAACTATTTATAATTAATTATGAATTTTGTGATGACTAATCCCAAAATTCTAATTAAATTATTTACACTAGACAAATAATTCGGACGATCTAAGCGATAATCACTAGTAATAATGATTAAATTTCGTAGTTACGACCAAGAGAACCAAGAGCGATTAGCAGAATCATTAGGACTCTTAGGAGATGATGGAGTTGATCCGAGTGGAGTACCTGGTGATGATTGAATTGTCTCATCATTTTTAATCTGAATTTTTTCATTAGTGGCTGCATGCATTTTTTTTTCGTACTCTCGAACGTCTTCGATGGACATCTCGACCCACTGGTCGATCCAGGCGAAGGCCTGGCGATGTCCAAGAAGAAGAATATCCCTGATACACTTGTGAATAAAATCCTCAACACGTGTCTGCAATCCCCAGACCTCAAAGGACGCATCCACAAGTTTATAGGAACACATTATGGGATTTGTAGTGTCACGCCAGCCTTCCACGAGTGGTCCTCGCCCAGTTTTTTTCGACTGAAAAAACTTGGGATCCTCTTCCTCTTTGTAATGCTTCGCCGACAGTTCATCATACGCTATATCGATGAAGTCAACATCTCGCTGTACCAATTCCACTGGTGTTATTCCTAGACAGTTTTCTGTTGATCCGTTGTTGTCCTCGTACCGTGTTTTGATGGATATTTGAAATTTTGGGAGAAATGAACAAGTGTATTCTGTTATGGTGAAGGGATAGTAGTTCCACGCCTTCTCTGTCACGTAAAATATTCTAGGAATGAGGGCTTGAATCCAATAAGGCAATTTACTGGACAGATGAATTCTTTTTTCTGTGTACTGTCCTCTCCCATGAACTGGATCCACACATTCAGAATTCTCCACGACTTCAACTCCTTCATCAGCATCTGACTGCTCATGACTGTGTCTCGCGATCATGTAGAGCTGTCCCACCCGATACTGCACAAGAAAATAATATTTTTATTATCAATAATCAATTAAACTATTGCTAAATAATATTCACCTCTTCAACAGTCAGAGGCATGCATATCCTGTACTCCTTGGTGAAGACCATCCTGAGGACTTCAGGACTTATCTATTTTTTTAGTTATTAATTTCAGATATTTTTTGGAGTGGGTGTCTCTATTTTTTATTCACTAACAATAACTTTTTCTTTGAAATCATGAATTCCTGGGGAAGTCGTGGATGAGGAATTCTCGCCGGAGACAAAACAATCGACCATTATGAAGTTCAAAGAAGATTGATTGAAGTAGAGGGTCAGTTCTGGGGGTTGGAGTGACCCCCGCGGCATCGTAGTACTCCACCCCAAGAGAGGGAGGGCGCCACACGCAATCCTGGGGTGTCCAGGAAGTCGACGGGGTGAATTTTATTTTCTGCGGTATGAATGCTTTTGTTTTTTATTTGTTTAACTGGAATTTAGCCGGGTGTTGACCGAGTGGAAGGGGGAAGCCATATCCTGTGGAATTTCAAATAAAAAAAATTTTCAATGTATTGAAGATATACTAGTAATGAAATTATGTTTTTAGAATGAGCGCGTGGGCTAATGGGCAGCGTGCTTGCCTTCCACGCGGGCGGCTAGGGTTCGATCCTAGCACCGTTAATTTTTTTTTTTTTAAATAAATCCAATTTTTTCTTTTGTAACTGGTTAATCAATGGAAATATTGTTTAAAAACTGAATAGCTCCTCGATTGTCATGTTCTCCTGATAGTTTTTCGAAAATTTCGAATTTTTCACTTTCAGTGAAAATTTCAGTGAATAGCTCCTCGATTGTCATGTTCTCCTGATACCTTTCCTAAAATTTCGAATTTTTCACTTGCAGTGAAAATTTCAGTGAATAGCTCCTCGGTTGTCATGTTCTCCTGATACTTTTCCGAAAATTTCGAATTTTTCACTTTCAGTGAAAATTTCAGTCAATAGCTCCTCGATTGTCATGTGCTCCTGATACTTTTCCGAAAATTTCGAATTTTTCACTTTCAGTGAAAATTTCAGTCAATAGCTCCTCGATTGTCATGTTCTCCTGATACTTTTCCGAAAATTTCGAATTTTTCACTTTCAGTGAAAATTTCAGTGAATAGCTCCTCGATTGTCATGTTCCCCTGATACTTCTTCAAAAATTTCGAATTTTTCAATTTCTATACTTATACTTTTTTTACTCGATTGATTAGACATTCACAAAAGAAAAAATTGGAATTATTTTGAAAAAAAAAAAATGAATGGCGCTAGGATCGAACCCTAGCCGCCGGCGTGATAGGCAAGCACGCTGCCAATTAGACCACACGCTCATTTAAAAATTAAAATTTCATTAGTAGTATATCTTCAATGCATTGAAAATTTTTTTTATTCAAAATTCCACAAGATGTGGCTTCCCCCTTCCACCCGTTCAACAGCCGGCTAAATTTCAGTTAAACAAATAAAAAACAAAAGCATTTACACCCCAGAAAATAAAATTCACCCCGTCGATGTCACCATACCATTTTTTGAATTTACGCGGTGGCCACTTTTTTGGCGGGTAATTCAAATCTCGAATTATTGAAAAAAATTACATCATTGTTTCAATAATTATTACCTCTGCTTTTTTTTCATATTCTTAAATTCATTCACAAAAATAAAACACTTTAGATATTGTTACAATAACGAAGATTATTATTAACTATTAATCATTAATCATTGATGAATAATTATTTTATTAAAATATCTAAAATAAAATTATCAAAATGCATTATTATTATTATTTTTATATCTATATTACAATACTTATTATTATTATTATTATTAATTATTGATTTTTTTAGTCATTCCCGGAATTATCGACTAGAGCTTTCCATTTCTACCGCAAAATGGAAAGGCGTAATTTCTCCTCGGTAAAAAAAATATTCTCCAACCGAATCTTAACCTCAATCCAATGAATAATGGATCCAATCCAAAACGACGGGTATTGTTGAAATAAATTACGCCAAAGAATTTTTTTTCATCATTCGTCAGTCGAGTGCAACGATTCCATCAGCTCATCAGCACGAGGGATTCATCAAGTCATTAATTGTGAGTGAAAAATTCGTAGAAATACTTGTAAAAATTGAAAGCCCCGACGCGATTGGATTCGATTGGTTTTTCGCCGGATTCCAAAATTTTTGCAGGTGAAATTCAATGAAATGTTTAGTCGGTTTTTTGGGGGTTTATTTTCATTGGAAGTGGGGGTGGGGTAATTAAAGAATGTAACGTCATTGGTATATTTTCCATGCAGATTTATAATTAAGAAGAATTTATAGATATTATGGAGTTATTGACACCGGAAAATCGGCAATCAAATTCATGGAAACGTTTAATTTTGAAAATCTCGGAATCTAGCAGAGATACCGAAATTTGTGTAGAACATTTTTTGTAGTGTGAATTCTCCTCTTTAAGAAAGGTCCTCACAAAAAAATCTCTATCTCCCCTAGATCCGGAGATATCCCCCGAAAACAGAGACTTTCCACTCGTAAATTGATGAGATCCTCTGAAAAATCGGTAATTTCTCCCCATAAATTCATAAAACGATCTTCATCCAGGAACAGACGAACGGTAGACTGCCCCCAGGAAAATGCCAAAACACAGTCGTGATCCGAGTGAAGATCGAGACCGTCGAGGATGGCGTCACGATTCCCGATCGCTGGAGCGAGAGCCAAAAAGAAGTAAAAATCGTCGAAAAAGATCGCGAACACCAGGCCAACGAGACAAAAGTCCCTCTCGAAACCGTCGATTTCGTAGCCCCAGCATCTCAACGACCTCAACATATCGAGAGAGAAGTCAATCGAGGGAACGACTCCATCGTCGTCGCAGCAGATCGCGAAGCAACGAGAGATCGTCAAACCGATACCCCAAAGTTCCAGAAAAATCCTCCAGAGACAATCACCAGCCGAATAAATCGGACATTGAGAAATTGTCAGGTGCCCTGAGCAATCAGATCCAGCTGAGTCCAATGATCGCGGATGACGATCTAAATGAAAAAATTCTCCCGGAATTCGATCCCGAGTCCAAGAGAATGAGCGTCGACGATTGGTTGACTCGAGTGAATCATTGCGCTGATGTTCGTCATTGGAATAATTGGCAGAAATTATATCTAGCTACCCTGAGACTCAGGGGATGCGCCAGGGGATGGTACGAGCAAGTATCGGTATCAGACACTCCATTTCTCAGCTGGAGAGAATTTTCAATGGCAATTGCTGAAAAATTTCCCTTTACCAAAACCGTTAGCTTTGGGGAATCACTCGAGGAAATGGTCCAGTTCACCAGTGACTCCAGCGGCATGAGTATCAAAGCTTATTATTACGAAAAGGTCAATAGGATAAACAGGTTAAATTTTGAGGTGAGTGAGGAAAAGATATTTGATCTGGTTGTTCATGGAATCAGTGATGCTGATGTCAGGATGAAGACGTGCATCTACTGCAGGGAGAAGAGTCTCGCGGAGCTCGATAAGTTCTTTGATATTTTCTTCGGGAGCGATGGCCGGAGGAAGAATGAGGGTGGTGAGGAAGGGAGCAAGAGGAATGGGAAGAATCATTTGGCTAGGAATTTTAGGAAGCCTGATAGAGCCAATGGTTGCTTCAATTGTGGTGAGCATGGACACAAGAAGAGGGCATGTCCTGGATTACGAAGGGGTAATTCTCAGGATTGAGGGGATCTCTACCCCTGCAGGGATTTACTCCAACGATGAAGGGTGTCCTTGTTGTTCAGATTATCCTGGAGGTGCTGGAGAGGATTGTGCATTTGGAAATTGCAGATTTCTAGGGTCGGATTATTCTTCAGGAGTTGGTTCATTCAAGCGTCAGTCGTCGCTCGAAAAATTCACGGGCAAATCAAATTTTTGGGGGAAAGCATTTCAGTTTTTTTGGATTCATCCATTTTTATTTGTTTATCCCATTTTTTTTTTAGAAAGTCATGGAGTTTTTAGGTAATCAGAGATTTTTCTGAATGATTTATTACTTTAGGGTATTTTCAGAGGGAATTATATCCAATTTCCTAACGAATTTGATTTTTCAGTGAATTTTTTTCTTAGGATATATAATGTAATTAGAATATTTCAGATAAAAATTTATAATCATAGGTATGAAAAATAATTGATGGATACAGCGGCCTGTACGAATTGTTCTGAGATCTTCGCGATTGAAAAGTTTATAAATTTCTCTTTTTTATAAACTTGAGACAGATAATGGGCCCGATGGAAGACAGATAATGGGCCCGATGGAACAATTTGTATTGGAAAATCAACAGCTGTTCTCAATTTTTCATTCAATTTCACATAGAAATCGATGCACAAGTCATTTTTTAATAAATTCCCGTAGAATTCTCAAAGGTCCAACGACTTTTCAATAGAATTTCGTAAACATTCAGTTTATTTATTGCATTTTTCCATATTTATTCTCGAATTTTCGTCAAAGGGCCGTTTATAAATCTCAAATAATTTTTACTCTCAATATCTCGAGCTCAACATTTCATTTTTATCATTACGATTTTTTTACTCATCGCGCCCATTTTTTTTCATCGAATTTTATTGATCCTACGAATATGTTATTTTCCAAGATGTAGTGATTGTACTGATCCATGTACAATAATTTTTTTCTTCATTTTTTTTTTCCACAGGCAAGTGGAAATTTTGTATTACGAATCAGTGAAAAAGGAAAATCAACATTTTCTCGTACGTCAAACGGAATGTGTTGAGAGGAATTCCAAAATTACCATTCAATTGTAAACATCTCGTCGTAGATTTAAAAGGGCGTAATTACAATTTTTCCATTGAGGAAATTTTCCATTTCCGGTCGGCAAATGAAACTTTTTCCCAGAATTTTCCACGAAAAATTGTGAGTAATAAAATGAAATTTCCATTTGCAGATTACATACGCCCTTTTCACTCTACGTCGATAATCTGCGGTAAAAATCACTTTGTCGTTTATACAGAATAAAACGATTATTTTTCATAAAGAATTGTCTTCTCAATAATTATTTAAAAATTTCCCCGCACATCAAAAAATTTAATTCAATAAATTAATTAAAATTATTCTTTTAGTTTTGCAACTGAATCACATAATAATAATTCCAAAAACTCGAAGGCTGTGTTCCGGAATATTTTTTTATCAAATCCTTAAATATCTGCAATTTTTAATAATAAATTTGAAATAATTTTCCAGCGCATGCGCCAGACGTTTCCCGCGTGAATTCAAAATGCACTCCCGATGTTAACCGAACGAAAAATTGACAGCTATTCGGGAGTGATCGTGCCCCAGCTGTAAATCCAGGATTTTTTGTCAATGTGTGTGTTGTTATTGAGAAAAAAAAAAGTACCACCCATCAGTCCAGTGGTGCGTCATTCCGTGAAAGTATTTGCAGTCTAAAAATTGTGAAAAATTAAACAAAAGAATTATCCCGATTACCATTAAATAGTCATTAAATTACGGAGTGCCATGGAGGTGTTGGATCCAACTGTCACTCATGATGATGCCCCACTTTGTGTTAATGATTCTTTAGAAAAAGGTAAGCAACATGTGGAATTATTATTAACAATAGGACGCGCGTGGTAATTCAATCAATTACTTGACATTTTTATTTTCAACCGCCAGTCATTGGAGTAACGAGAAAATAAAAATAATCCTCAGGCTTTTTTTCCTTTTCTTTCCGTCACAACAAAGACATTCACAGTAAATGGTCACGGATGTGGAATTACTATTTTCACGTTCTAATAACAGACAATTACGAAATTCAATGGACTCCATGCCTGAGAACAGATTAGGCTTAACAATTTTTTTATTTAAATTTTTTTATCGCAGAACTCTAGATCTGCAATAAATTAATCCCCTTAAAAAAATTAATTTCCGGATTTGCGTAATTTGCGGAATGTAATTGTAATTGTTTATTATATCCTGTTTTTTTAGTTAATAATAAATAAAATAATTATGTGATTTCAGTGACTCTGAGGCAAATTCCGAGTGACACAAAGTCATCTGTTAAAGCGAGACATGTTCTGGGATTTCTAGGATTTCTAGGTTTTGCCCTAGTTTATGCAATGAGAGTCAATCTCTCAGTGGCTATTGTCTCGATGGTAAATCAGACAGCATTTCCGGACAACGACAACGAGACAAACACCGATGTCTGTCCCAAAGTCATTCCAGTCAACGAGACATTCATTCCCGTAAGAAATATTTAAATATTCACAAAAATTCCGTCCCTCCATCAATTTCCATTAATTTAATTCAATCACTCGATCCTCCAATTAAAAATAAATGTCTTGAGACAATAGAGGGGATGGAAAATAAAAATTCTGGGGCAATCCTTTAACTTCCGCAAACGCAAAAAAAATTTTGCCACATTTTCGAATTTAATTCAAAATTCTACGGAATTCCGCGCGGATCGGTAGTTTTTTTTTGTGAATTCGAATGATATCGTATCATTTTTGGGAATACTAGATTAATTTTAAGAGGTATCGCTGCTGGAGACACCGGAAGAGTACAAACTGATTATTTGATCAAGTGGCAGAAAAAAAAATCGTCACATTTTGTTATGCTATCAGAATATTGGCCGTATTCTCTTATCATCCACCAACACTGTCCCATTTATAATCGAGAAACAATAGAGCTGTCGTCCTCAAGGCCACCAGCGAATTCCAAAAACCTATAATTTTCCAAAAAATATTTACATACCGACAAAAAAAAATTATTACCCAAAAATAAATAATCAATAACAATAAAAGCCACTATAACAATAAAATCTAAACAAAATAAAACAATTTGTCATGGAGTCATCAACTTAAAACTCTAAACAGAATTTTTTTTTTTCAATGAAAAGAAAAAATGAGAGAACAATAAATGAATTTGCAGAGCCCAGGAGAATTCAACTGGGACGAGAAAACCCAGGGTGTGATCCTGGGATCATTTTTCCTGGGTTACGTTATAACGAATGTACCTGGTGGTCGAATGGCGGAGAAAGTAGGTGGAAAGCTGGTGTACGGTCTCGGTGTATTGCTCACAGCAATTCTGACAGTAGTAAGCCCATGGGCAGCCTATTGGGGTCTCCCAGCATTTCTTGTTGTTCGTATCGCAGAAGGCTTCACCGAGGGTGTAACATTTCCAGCGATGCACTCAATGCTTGCCCACTGGGTGCCCCCAATGGAGAGAAGTAAATTCGCAGCCCTGGTATACGCGGGTTCAAATTTCGGAACAGTGATATCCCTCCCACTGAGTGGATGGCTGTGCTCTCTGGATCTCTGGGGTGGTTGGCCCCTAGCCTTCTACTTGTTTGGCAGCCTAGGAATAATATGGTACATATTCTGGTTATTTTTCATCTACGATACACCAGCTCAGCATCCAAGAATCGATATCCAGGAGAAGCTGTACATCGAGGCGTGCGTTGAACCAAAAAATGATAATGATGACAGGGGAGTACCCTGGCTGTCAGTTCTTACATCAGGACCGATGTGGGCGATAACTATAACCCAGTGTGGTCAGGCATGGGCATTTTACACACTCCTGACGGAATTACCAGCGTATATGGACAGAATTCTTCATTTTGATGTTCAACAGGACGCCCTATTGTCAACTCTTCCCTACCTATCAGCCTGGATAATGGGCCTGGTGATCTGCAGTCTAGCGGACAATCTCCTGGAGCGGAGGGTCATGACACCCTTGACATCCATGAAATTCTGGAATACCATCGGCTCACTGGGACCTAGTCTCAGCTTTCTCGGGGCTATTTGGGCTGGGTGTGACAGGGTATGGGTCATGATCATGCTGGCTGGTCTTGGATCACTCCAGGGGGCTATTTATGCTGGAAATCAGATGAATCATATTGCACTAGCCCCGAGGTATGCTGGAACACTTTATGGCATCACCAATGCTGCATCCAATGCCTGTGGATTTCTTGCTCCTTATGTTGTTGGACGACTCATCGCTGGGCATGAGACACTCTCTCGGTGGCATGTTGTTTTTTGGCTTGCTGCTGGCATTAATATGCTGGCTAATTGCTTTTATTTATTGTTTGCGTCGGCTAAGGAGCAGCCCTGGAGTCGAGGCAGTTGATGATTTGATCATCGCGGAATTACCAGGCGATCTCATTCCACCAGTGCTGATCGACTCGCTCTTAGCGCATTTTAAGGGAATTTTTATTTTTTCTTTTGGTGGATTCATCTCTGAATTTTGGGGATTGTTCACTGATTTTTTTAGGGGAGGAATTTTGGGGGCTTTATTCCCGCATTTTTCGGTTCATTTGAATATTAGAAAATTCATCCAATTTCCATTACTTAATTTTTTACGTCTGGAGTTTATTTTTCGACGAATTTTTATTGAGATATTCTTTTCTGTTTCATTTTTGGTTATCAGTTATTTTATTAGAGATAAATTTTCATCATTTAGAACAATTGAGGAGTTGCAGAATAAAATATTTCAGTTGAAAAATAGAAATTGTGATTCAAGGACGAGAAAAATCCGGAATTCAGAAAAATATCGGGAGAATATCCTACAGATTTCTCAAGGAATCTCAATAAAACTGAATCATTCATTTTTTCAATGAAATATTAAATAAATTAACATCTGTCATTATTTCCTGGAATATCACATCATTAATTAAAAACCTGCATTTCTTCTAAATTAAAAATGTTTCTTCGCAAAGAATTCAAGATTTTTTGGTGCTCTCTTCACGCACCGTAAGATAATAAACAAAATGGATAATCACAAAAGCATCAACAGTATAAAAAAAATACCAAAAAAAAAACGTGAAAGGACTTGACTAATTAAATAATTTATTCTCCCAAAAAATCGCACAATTCGCATAACTAACGAAACATTTTAAAGAGAATTATTTCTATGATGAATATTTATTGTTAATACAACAATAATCTTTGTTGTTGATATTTGTTAATTGAACAGTAGAAATAAACTCAGGATTTCGATAAATGGATAACGAGTTGCGTGTGAAAAGTATTTGTAAATCAATTGAAATTTCGATGACAATGGAAATAACAAAAATGCCTTGATTGATTTTAATTGATGAACTAATAATAACGGAATAAAGAGAACATGATTAAATTAATTGTAATGGCAAATACAAAGGTACAATTTCAATTAATTTTTCACATTTTAACATATCCGAAATACGTAAACAGTATAAATTTATGAATTAGTGGAAAATTACGTGAAATTCATTGATAATTAGGGGAAATTATTACCAGTGGAAAGCAATAATCGATTAAATTAATGATAAATTACCGTAGAGAGTAATCCAATGAAAAAGAGAATAGATTTTTAATGAGTGTAAATAAAAAAAAAATCACAACAGGATGCAATTTTAATTGCTTTAATTTCTTAATTAATTAATTAAATATAATTAATTATGTTAAGAAACACTGGAATTACATTCCTCGCAAGATAATAATTACAGTATTCTAAAGTTATAAAATCATGATGATAATAATTACTGTCGATAATTGTATGAAGATGTAAGAAAGTTATATTTACGAATAAATATTGTCGAAATGGAGCTAGAGATTTTTATTAACAAAGTATTACGTGAAATTTATAGATTCTCTGAATTTTTCATTTCAGAGATTAATTCGCAAATTTCAATCAATTATTTTTGCACTCAATTATTCTTTGGTAAATATATTATAGTAATTAAATATTATTATATAAAACATAAAGAATCATGTCTTAATAATGTTTTTATTTTACAAAATTACAAAATCCTTATAAATGTGAATTTTCAATTGTAAAAATGATGTCGTACCTAAAACTGAATTATTCAAGCATTTCCAGTCTTATAATTACATTAACATTACAATTTTCGTCGTTTTCCTTATAAAAAAATGGGAATAATCTAGATTAAACGTCAAATTGTCTGAAAAATATCGAAGAAATTCAAATGGAGGGTTAAAAATATTTTTTTTTCATTTTCTTTCATCAAGAAGTTTCATTCTGACCAGCATCTTTTTTCTGAGCAGTGAGTGAATAAATCATGTCCCTCATTCTACTTAAATCCGTTAACTCAGTCTCCAACTTCTTGATAGTCTCTTCCTTCTCAGCAATAGCAGTCTCATAACTCTTGCACTGTCTCATCAGCTGTGCACTTTCCTGCTTGAGTGCCCCCATGGCCTCCATAAGGCCCTCATTTTCCCTGTCCTTCTCCTGAATCCTCTGCTCCCTCTTGGCAACACTCTCCTGCAATTTCCCAATGGTTTTCCCCAATTCCCTATTTTTATCGACCAATTCCTCGTTATCTTTCCTGAGCCCCACCTTCTCTCCCTCCACCTCCTTCATTTTTTTCACAAGTCCCTCAATCCTCTCGAGAGCATCTTCCAATTCTCTCTTGATCTCAGAGAACTCCTCAATACTCTTGGACTTCTCAGCCACAATTTTCCTCAATCCCTGAATCTCCATCCTCTGACTCTCGTGGATCTTCTTGCTGTCCCTCTCAGCTTCAGCGAATCTCTGATGCAGATTGTAGTTATCGCTCTGAACAATCTCCACGTTTTTCTGTGAAGAAAACAGTAGCTCGTGGAGTTTTCCCAATTCAGAGGTCATAAAGGATATCTTGTGCTGGAGGAAAACACCATTTTTCTCAGCAGATATCAAACTTCTCCGCAAATTGTCCTCTGATTTTCTCATTCCATTCATCTTGGTCTCATACAACTCCATCAATTCAGTCATCAAAACATTCTCCATCTGATTATTAGCGATTTTCTCCTGGTATTTATCCAGAATTTTCTCAAGTCTCTGCAAGTCCTCGAGAGATAGCTTCCTTGGCTTCTCAAAGTCCTCGACCTTCTGCTCCAAATTCGATATCTCCAGGGGTTTTTCTATGAGCAGAATGTTCTCCAGATCAGTGAGAGATTTAGTCACACCCAGAATGCATTCCTGATTGAATCCAACTGAAGAAATCAGAGACAGTGTCTTGGATTTCGTCTCGAAGTCGCTTCTCAATATGGAGACAGCGAAAATCAATTGAATTTTTTTGTTCTGAATGAGTTCAGTGTAGAGAGTCAGCCATTTGGAGTCTGATGTAGCCAAATCCGAGATTAGACAGAGAAGATTTACGTAGAGAGGAGTCGAGATGTTTTTTATGATTTTCTTGGGGTCATCATCGTCGATTTTCTTCATCATTTCCCTGATCCTGGGCTCTGGCACAGACTGACTGACGTGCATTCTGTAATTCGAGATTTTCGTCAACTCCTGGATCAACTGGATCACCTCAATCGCCCGGAGATCATCCTCCAGGATGTCCTCAGATGTCATCAGAGACACCACGAAGTCTATTTGAGGTACTGAGAGAATATCCGAGCTCTTGTTTCTCCGGGAGTCCACGACAACAGTCTTCAGGAGGGAAAGACTGCTGATGGAGATCCTGAATTTTTTCAAACATCTCAGAGCAATTCCCGTCAGCTGTGGGTGAAACTGAAAAATTCCTGGGATTTTCAACTTGAGGATGGACGTGAAGAACTTGGAAATAATCTCCACAGCTTCAGGACACTTTCCCTCCAGCTTTTCAAGGACATCCTTCAAATTTTTTGTATAATTCTCGTAATTGATGAGATAATTTCTCGTCTTTTCGTGGCACCTGACCTCCTCGAAGAATTCCACAGCCTCATTCAGGACTTTGAAATCATTCTCCTCGAGGGTCTCCTCGATTATTTTAAATGTCAGCTCCACGAAATTAAGGATGAACTGCTCTGGAATTTCGTAATTAGTGTCTTCCATGATTAAAAGAATTTCACAACAGAGGATTTTTATTTTCGGAGTATTGGTCTGCAGTCGGAGAAGATTCCTGTGAAATTTTTTGCTGTTCACTGATTCGACTAGAGTGTAAATTGCTGGTGGATTTTTTCTGCATAGATTTATCAGAAGTCCGAGGGAACTCGTTATGAGTTCAGGGTCTTGGGAGGGATTTATCCACTGGGTGAGGGTCTGGATGAGAGCTGGAAGATGAGACTCTTGCCAGTGGAATTTTATACCTCTCGTTAATCGTTTCAAGAGCTTCAGCAATTTTATTCGTTTCTCGGGGATGAGGGATGTGGAGAGGAAAGGGGAGAGCAGCTGGGGAAATTTGTAGATGTGGATGAGAGAGTTCAGGGCGGTGGGAAGGGTGGATAGGGCCTGGAGGAGGTCCAGGACACTCCACAGGAGCGGATCCATCGGTGCCAGCTTCGAGGTCAAGGTGTAGAGGGTCTCGTAGAAGTCTGAAGCTAGTGGAGATCCTGGAGTGAAGACCAATAGGTCTTGGAGAGTTGTCAAGACCTGAAATTATTAATAAAATATATTTTCAAATTATAATAATAATTTAATTTCCTTTTGTACATTCGTCGGTTTATCATAAATACTTACTCCGAGATCTCGTTGAAGAACTGCTGTTGAAGTATCATTAGGATTATTCAGGTACTCCTTAGCTGATGATACGAAAGATTTCAAACTGTCGTTTCTCTCCATTTTAATTATTCATTAATATTTATTTATTTATGTATTTTGGGAATTAATTGAGATTATTTATAACTTGGAAGTCGTGCGTTTCGAGGTTATGGCATAGTGTCATTTGGTTTTCTATTTATCGAGGGGTAATTCTAATTAATTAGAGTAATTAGAGTAATTCGTAGTCTTTTCTTTTTTTTTATTGTTAATTAAAATTTACTTGTGAGAAAACGGAAAATTAGAATAAAATAGGAAAAAATGCTGGAGAACTCGAATTTGTTCATGCGCACCAGTCACATTTGAATATTGAATGGACCAATGGCAATCGGTCTGGAAACAGTTCGATGAAATGGCGGGAAATTTGAAATTGGGATATTATATCTACTAGCGCCACTCGGTTTCAAATGTTGTGAATGTTTTAAATTAAAACTTAACCTCAAGGTCGGAAAATTATTTTTCATATCACACGCAGGTGTATTTCTTATCTCTAGTCAAGTACTTTCCTGTTCTTCCCCACGGGCGTCAACAACACGAATGATAACACGTCACACAGATAATGAACGATGAAAATCAGGTACTGATCCATTGAATTCTCACTCGTCCAATGCTTTCAACAAAAAAAAAATACTGCCAGTCAATTTGCGATCATAAAAATAATATTTTCGTTTGTAAATTGACATTCACATTCTGCCTTTACAAATAAATTTATAATAAATTATGGATTGGGTCGGAATAAATAAAACAATCTTTTTTTTTTCCTGTATTTTCTATTTATTTAATAAATTCTCATGTATAAAAAGAAAATTTTCGTACAACCGCCAGCAACACTCACTTTTCCGACGAGAATCGAAGAATTCATTGACAAAAATGTGACTGAAAAAAAAATCTATTTCATTGAACTTAATATTTTTTGAAACGAGAAGTTTTTCGTGGATAAATCCGGGGAACACTAGCCAGACGAAATTAAAAATGTCGTGATTACAAATTCAGGGAACATTTCCATTCAAATTATTAAAAAGATTTCTTTCTGTCGGTGGAATTGACCGGACATCCGGTCTTTTAGTCGCGCCCCGAAAAATTCGATTTGGGATTCCCCCGGTTCTATTCAATGACACAATTTTTAGTCCCCCAGCCCCCAAAATCATCCCTTTCCGCAATCGTCAGATAAACCGAAAATCGTTTGACCCCATTTCACTCGATAGAACTCAATCCTATCACAATCGCTCTATCAATTTCTTTATCTCTACCGTTACACCCTATTTTATACAAAAAAAAAATCATCCCCAATGGACAAAGAAACTAGATTCATCATCACTATGACACGTTCAACGCACTCTCCTATTACACTGAGAGAAATAATCCACATGATATCGCAAAAATAATCTCTCGAGTTTAAAAAATGGCAGAGTATTTCCGAAACCGATTTATTATGTCAACAAATTCTCACTTTATCATGAAATGTTCGTGTTAAAGTCACAAACACTTGATCAAAATCTGCCATTGTCTGGCACGTAATCCGGAATGCTTGTCCCAAGAAATTTCTTCTCAACAATCTGAAATATCCGTTGCAAGAAATAAATTCTCGCGATACCACGAAGATACACCAATCAGCTACCTAAAACATGATTTCTCCTTAATTTCAAATAGTATCCCCTCACTTCCGGGAATGATTATCAGGAAAGCAGGAATGCACTCAAGCAGGTACCGTACGATATCTCACATTAAATAATGATTTATAAATAATTATTGACAAAATAGCCATTTTCGGTCTCATCTCTTATTTTTCAACGGGACATCGATGAGGCCTCATCTATCCAAATTAAAAGGTACATGTGCGTAGAGTACGTGAACACTTTGGGCTCGCAGTCTTGTCGCCTCATTAATCGCCGGTCTGACTTCATATGAGCGATTACAACCGCTCACTAGACTAGCAGCTCTCGTCGATCTTGTCATACCCATTTGACTGAATCGATTTGAATTCGTTGGACGAACTGAATTATAGGATCTTGAGTTGTTTGACAGATTTCGGTGGACCCTGGGGAGCCCATGAGAACTGCCTGATAGCGGGTCTCACCTGCAATTAATTAATTAACTAATCAATTAATCAATCATTCCATCTGAATCATCTGAATTCAATTCCTCGAGCTCTCCGCGCCATTTTGTCGCTGTCCGCCATTTTCTCGTGTAAAGAAATCAAAATGGAAGCAACACCGACTTTTATTCGCGTGGCGGGAAATTCAAATACTGCCAAATGCACGATTAATCGCGTAAAAAATTAATTGGCACATGAAATTGGAGGAAAAAAAAATATACCTGGCATAAGGCGGTGGAGGCGTAGGTACGGTTGACTCATCGGAAACAATAGCTGTTCCTGGGACTGTTGTCACACCATCAAGAGTTGTGCTGACACCGGTATTGGCCTGTGGTATCAGTTGTCCTGGATTTAACTTGATAGCATCATCGTAACTCGGCGGCGCGTCGGCAACGGCCTCGTAGTCCGGTGGCTTTTGTCTCGCACCCACCGACGACTCGTCCATCGATATCACATGTATCGGATCATCGATCTGAAGTCATTATAAATTACCTATTTATTTATTCGTTATAATAATAATAACATAATTTTTTTATGACACATAACAAATTTTTTTTTTTGAAAAAAAAATAAAGAAAAAATTATTATTTTTTTTTTAATTTCAAAAATTCTGAAAAATTATAAATTCAAATTTATACATATAGAATACATTTTTAATGGATAAAATGCGCAATGTCGATAGTAATAATATATTGCAATTAAAAATAGAGATAATTTGTTTTTTATTTCTGGTGATGGCAGTTTTATTTGACTCCACGCAAATGAGATCTGGGCCTCGACGTATTCTAGATATAGCGAGGGTGAATTAAAAGTAACCGCAGAAAGACAAAAAAAGAAAAGGTATAGAACTGGCTAGTGATAATAATAGAATTCGCGTGCGCACTTTAGGGTTAATATCCTCATCACCCCCCCTCCCCGTAAGTACACCCACCCTCGGTATAAACTTCACTTGCACGACCCCCTTTCGCCACAATTTTATCCATAAAGGGTCGGCAGACAGTTATAAATAAATAGGCTCAATGAAAATTAACGTGACAGGTGAAGATAAAATGGTGGCATTCGGAAATACTTAATGCAGACTCGTGATAACGAGAGCGCAAGCGCCCATTATTATTATGGAGAAGAAATAAAAAAAATCTGCCCGTGAAAAATTGTCCCGGCAATTTTTTTTTGTGACGTACAAAAAAAATTGGAGAGGCATTGAAAATTTTGGGGATAAATTTTCGGCGGAATTCCAGAACAAATAGGGGATGACAAAAAAAATTTTGAAATTCGCGGGCAATTCTCCTGGGATTCCCCCAAAAATCCCACAAATAATTGATAATTGAATTGACAGATGGAGTTATTTCCGCACATGCCTCTCATGCAATTCGATCAGTCCCTCGCCTACAAGAGCAGAAACCCGTGAAAAACGATCAATAAATTTACCTCAGAGGGCGAAGACTAAAACATATTAATACCCCATGTCTGTTTTATTTAACTCCATTCTCCATACCCTACCTGTCCGTCTGTTTATAAATCGTCCATTTATAGATCCCCAACTCTATACCCCGTAAACTCCGGAATCTATAGACTTGCGGGGGCAGTGTCGATGCTCCTATCTCGCAAACCATTTCTATCCAGATATTTTAGGATTTACCATATCTAAATTTAACGCGAATTACGCAAGTAAAAAGTGAACAACATAAACGTAAGAATGAAACGTTTCATATATTTATTTCACTCTTGTTCACTTTGAATATTTCAATTAATTAATTAAAAAATTGTTGAAAATAATTTCTTCAATTCTCTTCATTTATTATTATTATTATTATTATTATTATTATTAATGATTAATTATTGAATTAAATTGACCGTTGGAATTTTTTTTTATTTCTCTGAAGAAAAATGAGTCGTCGAAATATTAAAATGGAAAAAATCAATTAATAATAAATATTAATAGTAAATAATGTTTATTTACCTGTACCGTATGTGGGTGTGCGGTATGTTGTGCCTGTACATTAGTCCTAGTTGGTGGTGCATGTAACCAACAGCACATAGCAGCGCATATTAAAAGTGCACCAGCAACTATACACGCAACACCGACGTATCTAACTGGTTCAACATAATTTTCAGCAAGTCCTAGCCAGTTTATCAATGCACCAACGCATAATAACACCATACCATAGCGATACGGCCTCTGCGAGCGTCGTGACTCCTCGAGGGACATTTCTGTAGGAAAAAAAGTAATAGTTATTGGAGAAAGAGTGGTTGCACTTTGATGGATCATAAGATTTTTTATCGTGCCCCAGATCTGTGAGGGGAGACAATTAAAATAGTTGTGTTTCTGTTTACAGAATCTTTTTTTTTCTTTTTATGCTTATTTTACATCGCTTCGAGTCGGATGAGACTATGTGGGGATTCATCAGGACTTTTTAAAGCTAGTTAGATCTCACCATTCTACCCGGCCAGGAATCGAACCTGGAACTTGTCCGTTGTGAGGCAACGACCTTAACCACTACGCTAAAATTGTACTGTCGGTGGAAAATTTTTGATTGAACTCGATTTATTTTCATTGATGGTAGATTGATCCAGAGACGATTCCAGATGTGTCTGGCACTTTAAAGTATAAATATCTACTAATTAAAAATATTATTTTGTGACTCCTAGGTCGAATTCGCTGGAACCTCGATAAATGGGAATTTGATTTTGACAGTAATGGAATTTTTCCTGAGATTTTAGCCGCAAAAATTTCTGTACATCTGTCCGAGTAGCTGAAGGTGACACAGAGGTCACAGGACATTGTGCGTCATATGTGGGACGCGCGGATAAAAGATTTGATTGAGTGGCCGATGAGGGAAGGTTATTCCCTCATTTTTCTTCGACACATTCGAGTTTCTATTTTTGTCGAGTCATTACTACATCTACCCCTAACATTCACTGTTTATTTGCGACGCAGGAGACGCCAGAGGGGTGGGTTCTAGGTGTTCCAGTTTAGTGGCTAGTAATAATGGTAATGGGTATCACGAAAGTCGGTTGAATTTTATCGATGGGGGACAACAGGCAGTGACAGCTGAATTTATTATAAGAATGAAAGAAGGATAGGTCATAGTCGGACATTTGAGGAGGTGAACTTCAACTGGAACTTCTGGAATTAGGTTTCGAGGGTTTTCATGTGATGGGCGCCGGATCGTACCTGAAGTCTAATTTTTTTACAATTAATTTTTGAGAATAAATTCCTGGAACAAGTGAGGGAAATTATTCTCTCGGTTCTTGATTTTTCTTTCTGAACGATTTTTTTTAATTTCAACTGACATATTATTTTTTTTCTTGTAAAACACTTTTTAATTCATCGCGTGAATGTGCACTCGCGTGTTTCGCTTTACCCACACGTGATACGAAAATTAATTGCGGTATATTTTTTCATCTAGCAATGCATAAAACGTGGGAGGCCGTGAATGGGGGTCATACACTGATAGAAAAGGTGCAAGAATTTTTGCAGGGGAATTTCGGGTGCAGGCACCTGAAAATTTTTTTATGAAAGGATGAGGAAAAATTACCACCTTGACATAAAAAAAAATGCATCAATTCCTAAGATTTAATTATCATTCGTCCACTATCCGTTCCAGAATTCGGACAAAAAACTCTCGAATTCTCGGAAGAATTTCTCCCGGAAATTCGTAATATTTTCCTTCTTTTTCTGGTAATTATACCGACTGCAACCGCGACAGTTTTTTCCGGTAATTTTTATCGATCTTTTCGCCGTGCAAGTGAATAATTGCAGTGACTCACGTGAACTGTCAAAATCGAAGAATAGAAAAAACATTGAAAAACACATGGAATTCCCTCGGTTACGTATTTCACTGAGTCAATACAGAATTATGTGAAGTTAATAAATTTAAAAATGGATCCTCAGAAACAAGTACGATTGATGCCAAGAGGCAAACTGACAAGCCCCTATGGCAATCCGCATACTTATTCCTCCACATTATCAGAAGTACTTGATAGAACGATCGAGAATATTGATTAAAAATCGATAACGTTGATGAAATGGAGATTATGGATGACTTCGTGATGGATTTTGAGAGCGGTAATGAGTGCGTGACAATATCAAATCGTATGTGATAATTGCTCCGGCGTAATCTCACTGTGCTATTGCAGAGAAAATTTCGGAACAAATAAATCATCGTGGTTGTGTATGATACCTGAAATATTTAATAATAATATAGCTACAGAGAAAATTATAGTTGAATATTTATGAGGTTGACTGGATGGCTAACTAGGTCAGACGAAAGATCCCGGGTCTAGTACTCGGAAGGTTTCAGGTTCGATTCCCGGGTGAAGTTTCGTTTTTTTCAGTGGAATTTCACAGGAATTCGTACCCGAGTTCTTGTTCTGACTGGGAATTCAGGAAAATGCCTGGAGTGCGTACCTGAATTCTAGTTCAGGTTGGAAACGCAGGAAAATACCTGGAACGCGCACCCGAATTCTCGCTGTGAATGAGAATTCGAAATTGACGCAAAAATATTTCAAGAAAGTCGTTGATCTCGATATTTATTCCCGAAGAGTGACACGGCGCTAACACGAAATAATTGTGGATCATCTATAAATATACCACTTGTTCACTGATCTTATCTGATACATGACGGGTAATAAACCGCGAATGGAAATATTTTTCTCCCTTTGGTTCACCTTGAAATGAGTAATTGAATTACGATCCCGAGACGGTAATAATTCGTCATGTCATCGGGACAATATTTGACTGCCTATCGCGTCACAGTTATTCGTGATAATATAACCTCCATAACAATTTGTCGCATTAACGTATCGTTCATATATTCTGAGCATGAGTTGTCAGGTTTATTCAATCGTCTCATTATCTTATTTTCAATTTTTAGAAAAAAAATGTATTTACGCATCTCCATTTTTCATTCTTCTGTTCTCGATAATTTTTTGAATTGTTGATTAAATTCATTCGATATAAAATAGTCAAACACAATGGTGGGAAATATTTCGGATATGCCTTATCGTACGTCATTTTTATTTTTATCGAAATTATTCCCGATGATGGCAATGAGGGGAATAACGATTGAATATTTTTCATCAAGGGAAATCGCACCGATCATTGATAAAATACATAAATAACGGCTTCCCACTCAGAATCAATGAATATTCAATTCCTGGGGATTGAATCGTCCATCGTACTGTACAATTACTCATGGGGACAATGAAATTGCGTTGAATTGGCCCCTGATGAATAGAATAAAAACATCTCAAATTCAAAACACCAACAACTCGTCAATTCCAGATTAATTTACGTTCAATAAAATTAATTACTGCCAGCAATACTATTTGATTGACGAAAATAATAATACCTTATTATTATTAGATAATTAATATTTTTCCTCAATGCCAGAACCAAAAATGTAATAAATTTTCTTCTATTCGTGTCGAATTATTAACGGGATAAACAACTTAGCGATGGGAATTATAAAAATTTATCGGCTTAGGGAATTTTCTTGTGAAAAAATATGGCTCTCTAATCCGTCAATAAGACTGGAAATTAACCGCTTCTCTCAATTTCACGACACTTGCGTCAACAGAAAAACGCGTAATGTATATCAATAATTTTTTTCATTGTCGATGTAATAAACGGAAGGAGAATTATCCGGCTTATCACTTCTCTCTGATTACCTCCAGTCATTTACACTTTATTATGATAACTAAAATAAAAAAAGGTGATTATTATTTCAAAAATTACTCCGCAGAATGAAAAATAAATGATCGAATATTTTTTTAATGATAAAAATCTACGGAATTGTTCATAAAATCCATTAATCGATTTCATTTTAATTTTTCACATTTTCGTCGGTTCCGTTGCAGATTTTCTGGTGATAAAATTTGAATAGTCAATGATTGGAATAATTTAATCATCTGTAATTTATAAAGATTTTGGTATTATCATTCCTCTCGGAATTCTTTGAAAATATATTCAGAAGACAGGAGGAAAATAGTGAAATTCCTTGAGATGATTTTCCCGCGGAATTTCCCAACTTCCTCTTTTTGCTTTACGCGAACAATTCCTACGTCATTGACCCCAATTCTAATAATCCTTCCTCGTTCCGAAGTCATGAGTAATTTTCATGTCTATGTGACAGAACAATTCAATGGAAAAATCTCAGCGCTCGGTGATGTAAAAAATCTGGAGAATCTGTTGAAAATATTCATGTCCCATTTTTATCAACTCAACCTTCACCTGATTTAAAATATCATCACCACGAAACGAATGAAATGCTCATTCTATTTTTATAATATCATTTTTTTCCGAGAATCAGCGGGAAAACAGAAAATTATGATTAATTATGCCCGCGGGAAATTTTTTAAATTGTAGTACTGACACTGGAAAATTTTTAGAATTTCGGGACAAAGAGGGGATGACACACAATTAAATTATGAATCATGGAAATTAATGGAAATTAATGGAAATTAATGGAAATTAATGGAAATTTAGGGAAATTGATGGAAATTTATGGAAATTTATGGAAATTGATAGAATTTTATTTTCGCGTTGCAGTAATTATTCTGATATGTGATTTTCTGATTCGTGTCCTTTTCTCTTTTCTCCTGTGCATTTTACAACCAAAACTTCCGGGTAATTTACGACTTGTGCAATCGAGTAATCAATAAAGGAGAGGGTGAGATCGATAAAATGGCGAGGAGCAATTTAAAAGAGTAAATTTACATTTTCTTGAGTTACGGGGAATGGACATTCGTGTTGACTTTGGGTTTTGGTCTTGGCTGAGAAAATGGCAAGGTCGTGAGCGCCTTCAATGCCACGGGAATGTTGATGACGTTTTTATAACAGTTTAAGAAATCCGATGCTAATTACGCACTGAAAAAGGATCACTATTGATGAGCTGACAATTTAAAAAAAAATTAATTCAAAAGTTAGGATCAAGCATTTCAGCTAAAATCTCAAGAAAATATTTAATGGCCCATGAAAAAATTGCGCTGGATCAGTAAATCTACTCGCGATAAGTAGGACTTCATAAATATTCCTATTTGAAATGTGGGTGTTATCTGGTACTATATAAACAAATTTACTCAACAATTGTAATTATATTCGAGCAGATAAAGCGAGTTGACAGAATTCTTCACTGACATTTTCATAAATATCTCCTCGCCTAACAAAGATATCAAAATTATTGCCGAACAACTTTTGCAGCTGTGGATGAGTTCTAAAGAAAATGTCTTATCAAAAATTTCGTTATCCCGTTTATTTGCCGAGATATTCCAAAAAAACCGAAAAATTCTGGTTGTCGTAAAAATGTATCGACTTAAAAAAAAAATTCTCGACTCACCTTCGCTGAGCGTGTGTTGCGACAGTTTGATAAAAACGATAGCACCTCACAAAACAATGATCCTAGGGAATAGTCACAGAACTTTTTACTCGGTAAATTTACCGGTCACTGTAATGTTAAACAAATATTAATGACCGCCGTGCGAGCGCAGCTCCAACGGCGGACTCCGCGCGACTGAGACTACTGAAGTGACTTGTGGCGTTCGTCAGGAAAAAAAGAGAGAAAAAAAAAGCCGCCGCCGCAGTTACACTTCCCCACAATCACGACATCAAATGGATATTTCGTCAAATGGAAAAATATTCGAACGTATTAGCTGATATTTCAGGGCATTTTGCAATTGAGTCATTAATATTGCCAAAAGACTACGGGCGAATGATTCTATTTATTCTGATGATCATTTCTTATGCTGGCATTAGTCTTTATGACACAGATTCATACTACAACCTGTGACCAAGTGACAACAATAAGCATTGGCCTGGTTTAGACTGTCATGGTCTCAATGAAATTTCTGTCTTTATTCACTCTTCCGTTATAATTAGAGCGGATAATTACCGAAGGCTTTTCTCTTCTCGCGATTTCACAGTCGATTGACGATTACTCTCCCGAGGAAATAAAATTGTAATCAGAATATTTTTTTTTATTTTCTAAAAATTTCTAGAATACTTTTCAGAATTTTTTTTTTATTTTCTAGTTTTTTTTTTATATTTTTTTTTTAATTCTGTTGTTTTTTTACTTTTTTTATATTCTCAAAAAAAACGCCATGATTTATAATAAAAAATTCCATATTTAAATTGTTGAAAAATTTTTCTTCGGATTTTTTTTTTATAAAAAAAATTTTCTGCAAAGTCTTCCCGAAATTTTTTGAAAATTGAAAAAAAATATTCCGGTTACATTTTTTTATCCTCCGGCATCGCCAAATTTATTTCTTCCATCGAATATTCCGTATCTTGAACTCGCAAATATTTCACAGCGAATGTAAACAATCGATCAATAAGGATTACGAAATAATTATTATTATTCCAAAGAATTCCAATGAAAAACACGAGATTATAATTATCCACTTGTTCAGGAATCAAGCTCATGATGCAGGATATATTCTTATCAATTGTTTAACGAGCGAATGACTTTTTAAAAATATCAATACGTCACTGCAACTGGTAAATTATCACTGATAATGATGTGCTATTCCCTGGAATTCTCACAGCAAAAAATAACAGATAATGAAGTTCAAGCGTCTCTCAAGTGGAATCACTATTTTTCATTAAACGATTATTCTGAAAATATCCTGAAGAGTAGTTTAACAACATTGGCAAGACAAACTGGTTTATCAGCTATTAACGGACTAGTCCAGGACATTTCAACTTCTGGATTGAGCAATCCCTTCATGTCTCCAATTATCCAGAAATTCACAATGTTTATGTTTTTTATATTTCAGTAATTATAATTAAAGTAATTATTTTACTTCTGTCAATGAATTTTATTATCGATAAATAAATTTAAGACGGAATTCAATTGGAAAATTCATGTTTATTTATTTTATTAATTACATTTATTTATTTTAAAATTCAATTCGAGTTAATTATTGTTTGAAAAATGATTTACTGTTGCTGGAATCAGGTGTAATCAATCGATGTACTCATTCTCATGTTATTAATAATGACATGAATAATTATTCCTAAACAAATCAGTCAGTCATATCAATTATGACGTATTCTATGAAATAAAAAAAAGAGGTGTGGATCGTATTACATTGCGTAATCAAGGTCTCGTAAATCGGAGACTAACTCCAAAGTAACTGTGCATTAACCATTGCAGTTATTAATTACGTGATTCATGGAAATTGACACGATTAACTCGCGACGGCATGATATTTTTTTTTGGATTAAATATTTTTGGCGGTTAAGAAAAAAAAAATTGTGAGCGGAATATTTTTGAGAAATATTGAAAAAATTACATTGAATCAACTTGAATCAAGTCGAAAAATCAAGTTGAGAGAACTTTGTAAATTGACTGGTACCAAAAATAAAGTACAGTCGAGGTAAAACGTTGGGCCCTCGCAATGACTTCTCCCGATAAAAACCCAAAGCAATTAAGAGGTGATTAAACACCGCGACAATCCTATCAACGTGTTGTTAATGAACTCGGACCACTTGTTCGCTACAAACATGTTTCTTCGGTTATTTCCTCTGGACTTAATCCCACCGTTTTCCTCAATCATCTTAACTCTGTTTTTCACTGTGAGATTTATTTCTTCATTTTTTCACAGAGTTGAAAATTCCTGAGAAGTGGATCAAGTATCAACGCGGGTGATTAGCACCAGTTCTCTCAGAAAATATTACCTACGTCAGCGGTTCCGTTTAGATGAGTCATTCTGACTCCTTGAGATACCGTTAGTTCCGATAAAAAAATTACGAACACCGAATTGAGTCTCAAGATTCAAAGATATTCCGTCATTTTTGCGAAATATTCTATAATTAATAATAATAATAATTATTGATATTATAGAATTGAGAAATAATTATCGATATATATTTTTTGATTGTGGGTCGAGGTGGATTTAATATTATAATTATAATTGGTATTCATTTTCAGGTAGACATTTTTTTTTCTGTGACAAGTGGAATTCGCACTTGGGCAATAGAACGAGCGCAAGACCTTTTGGTGGTAAATGGAGGAGCGTCAAAAGGTTTGTCTCCTTTCTCTCGGAAAACCGATATTCAATGACTTGCACAGAGGTAACGAGAGTCTCATTGAAGGCCGACAACATTTTGAATTAATGCGGAACTACCGGGTGAATTAATTAATTAATTCATCAGTACTTTATCAAAATTATTCTCTGCGTCTTTAGCTGCAGTGGAATTTCCGTTGATGCGCACTTGGATATGATGGTTGTATGAAATTTTGTGTCATACTTCATGGAGGGAAATATTTCAATAAAAATAACGGATTTTTTCCGGTAATTTCGGAATGAAAAGTGGTTGTAAGCATCCAAATAAAAACTAACTGAATTCAATAAAGTAAGAATATTAATTCAATTTATTTTAATTAATTAATTAATTTGTTATTTAATTTTTAAACACGTAAATTGGGGGAGAACGGTGGTGTGATTATAAAAATTAAGTTGTGGGCAATTTGATTTTTTTCATGCCTATTTCTTGAGGCCTGGATTGCCGACATTGCCTGCATTGCCGAAGTTACCTGGGTTTAAAAAGTTGCCGAAGTTGCCGGGGTTGCCTGGGTTGCCGGCATTGCCTGCGTTGCCGAAGTAGCCTGGGTTTCCGAAGTTACCTGGGTTTCCGAAATTGCCTGCATTGCCGGGGTTACCGAAATTGCCAGGATTGCCAAAATTACCTGGGTTCAAAAAGTTGCCGTAGTTGGCGGGGTTGCCTGGGTTGCCGGCATTGCCTGGGTTTTCGAAGTTGCCTGGGTTTCCGAAATTGCCTGCATTGCCGGGGTTACCGAAATTGCCTGGATTGCCAAAGTTACCTGGATTCAAAAAGTTGCCGTAGTTGGCGGGGTTGGCTGGGTTGCCGGCATTGCCTGCGTTGCCGAAGTAGCCTGGGTTTCCGAAGTTGCCTGGGTTTCCGAAATTGCCTGCATTGCCTGGGTTACCGAGATTGCCTGGATTGCCAAAGTTACCTGGATTCAAAAAGTTGCCGTAGTTGGCGGGGTTGCCTGGGTTGCC